GGATCAATGAAACAGAGCTGGTTCTTTGAAAAAATTAACAAAATCGACAAACCCTTAGCCAGACTCACTTAAAAAATAAAGAGAGAAGTCTCAGATAAATAAAATTAGAAACAAGAGAGGAGAAATCACAATAGATAGCGAAGAAATACAAAGGATCATAAGAAAATACTACGAAAAACTATATGCCAACAAATTGAACAACCTAGAAGAAATGGATAAATTCCTAGCCTCATACAACCTACCCAAACTGAATCAGGAAGAAATAGAGAATCTGAATAGACCAATCACAAGTAAAGAAATAGAAACAGTAATCAAAAACCTCTCCAAAAATAAGAGTCCAGGACCAGACGGCTTCTCTGGAGAATTCTACCAAACATTCAAAGAAGATTTAATACCTATCCTTCTCAAACTGTTCCAGAAAATAGAGGAAGATGGAGCACTCCCTAATACATTCTATGAAGCCAACATCACCCTGATCCCCAAACCTGAAAAGGACAACACAGAGAAGGAAAACTACAGGCCAATATCACTGATGAACATAGATGCAAAAATCCTCAACAAAATTTTGGCAAACCGAATACAGCAATATATCAAAAAGATTATACACCATGATCAAGTGGGATTTATACCAGGGACACAGGGATGGTTCAACATCCGAAAGTCAATCAACGTGATTCACTACATTAACAAAATGAGAAACAAAAACCACATGATCATCTCAATAGATGCAGAGAAAGCATTCGACAAGATCCAACATCCATTTATGATAAAAACCCTCAATAAAATAGGTATAGAAGGAAAGTACCTCAACATAATAAAGGCCATATATGACAAACCCACAGCCAACATCATACTCAACGGACAAAAACTGAAACCCATCCCTCTCAGAACAGGAACAAGACAAGCGTGCCCACTTTCATCACTCTTATTCAACATAGTACTGGAGGTTTTGGCCAGAGCAATTTGGCAGGAAAAAGAAATAAAAGGAATCCAAATAGGCAAAAAAGAAGTAAAACTCTCGCTGTTTGCAGACGACATGATCTTATACATAGAAAACCCCAAAGAATCCATAGAAAAACTATTAGAAACAATCAACAACTACAGCAAAGTTGCAGGGTATAAAATCAACATACATAAATCAGTAGCATTTCTATATGCTAACAATGAACTAACAGAAAAAGATCTCAAGAACTCAATCCCATTCACGATCACAACAAAAAGAATAAAATACCTTGGGATAAATTTAACCAAGGAAGTGAAAGATCTACACAACGAAAACTACAAGACCTTCTTGAAAGAAATCGACGACGACATAAAGAGATGGAAACACATTCCATGCACATGGATTGGAAGAATAAACATAGTTAAAATGTCCTTTCTACCTAAAGCAATCTACAGATTCAACGCTATCCCAATCAGAATTCCAATGTCATTCTTTACAGAAATTGAACAAAGAATCCTAAAATTCATATGGGGCAACAAAAGACCCCAAATTGCTAAAGCAATCCTGAGAAAGAAGAACAAAGCTGGAGGCATCACAATCCCTGACTTCAAAACATACTACAAAGCTACAGTAATCAAAACAGCATGGTACTGGTACAAAAACAGGTGCACACATCAATGGAACAGAATTGAAAGCCCAGAAATAAAACCACACATCTATGGACAGCTAATCTTTGACAAAGGAGCTGAGGGCCTACAACGGAGGAAAGAAAGTCTCTTCAACAAATGGTGCTAGGAAAACTGGACAGCCACAGGTAAAAGAATGAAAATCAACCATTCTTTTCCACCATTTACTAAAATAAACTCAAAATGGATCAAAGACCTAAAGATTAGGCCTGAAACAATAAGTCTTCTAGAAGACAATATCAGCAGTACACTCTTTGACATCAGCTTCAAAGGAATCTTTTCGGACACCATAACCCCTCACATGAGGGAAACAATAGAGAGAATAAACAAATGGGACTTCATCAGACTAAAGAGCTTCTTCAAGGCAAGGGAAAACAGGATTGAAACAAAAAAACAGCCCACTAATTGGGAAAAAATATTCACAAGTTATTTATCTGACAAAGGGTTAATCTCCATAATATACAAAGAACTCACACAACTCAACAATAAAAAATCAAACAACCCAATTACAAAATGGGCAGGGGACATGAACAGACATTTCTCCAAAGAAGATATAAGGATGGCCAGTAGACACATGAAAAGATGCTCATCATCACTAATCATCAGGGAAATGCAAATCAAAACTACACTAAGATATCACCTTACACCTGTTAGAATGGCAAAAATATCCAAAACCAAGAGTGACAAATGTTGGAGAGGCTGTGGAGAAAAGGGAACCCTCATACACTGTTGGTGGGAATGCAAACTGGTGCAGCCACTATGGAAAACAGTGTGGAGATTCCTCAAAAAGTTAAGAATAGAAATACCTTATGACCCAGCCATCCCACTACTGGGTATCTATCCTAAGAACCTGAAATCAGCAATTCCAAAAGTTCCATGCACCCCTGTGTTCATCACAGCATTATTCACAATAGCCAAGTCATGGAACCAACCTAGGTGCTCAGCAACTGATGACTGGATAAAGAAGATGTGGTATATATATACAATGGAATACTACTCAGCCACAAAAAAGGACAAAGTCGTCCCATTCACAACAACATGGATAAACCTTGAGGGTATTATGTTATGTTGAGTGAAATAAGCCAGACAAAGAAAGACGAACTCTGTATGACTCCACTCATAGGTGGTAGTTAATATATGGACAAAGAGAACTGATCGGTGGTTGCCAGGGGAAAGCGGCGGGGGGAGGGCACTAGCGGTGAAGTGGTGTACCTACAACATGACTAATAATGATGTACAACTGTAATTTCACAAGGATGTTAACTTTCATAACCTTAATAAAAAAAAATGTTGGGGAGGGGTCAGTCCAATGGTGTAGTGGTTAAGTTCGCGTACTCTGCTTCAGTAGCCCAGGGTTTACAGGTTCATATCAAGCAAAAACAGGAAGATTGGCAACAGACATTAGCTCAGGGCCAATCTTCCTCATTCAAAAAAAATAATACTGGGGAAAGAGAAGCCTCTGAAATTACACACTTCCAAAAACCGACATACAAAAATCTCAACTAGAGTCCACAGTAGTTCAGAAGAATTAGTAATAACTATTATTCACTTAAAGTATACTATGCGCTAGAATGCTTGTACTAAGCCTTCAATACCTCGTTTAATCTTCAAAAAAACCCTCAACATATGGAATAATTTGGATTCTCACATACTCCTCCTAGAGAATCCCACTCCTAGAGAAATTCTCATACATAAGCACCAAGAGACTTAAGAATGTTCAGAGCTGCACTCTTCATAATAATGAACATCTGGAAACAACTCAACTGTCTGTCAACGGTAGAATAAACCATAGAGCATTCAGACAGCAGAAAAAAAATGAATGAAACAAAGCTGTATACATTTACATGAGTGAATTTTAAAACAAAGATATAAAGATGAGCAAAATAAGAAAATCTCAGAAGAATATAAAAACGTTATCATATTGTATGTGGATATCAGTAACAGACAAAACTTAACAATATATTGCTCCAGGATACATTCATAGGTGGTAAAACTATAAATGCAAAGACTGATTATCAAAAAATTCAGCATAATGGTTGTATCTAGAGGGAGGGGTATATGTCGGCCTTCAAAGGTACTGTAATTTCTATTAATCTGGACGGCAGGCACATGGACGGGTGCTTGTATTACTATTACTTTTTTGCTTATACAAATGTTTTATATGTGCTTCTTTTGTATGTGTAATATATTTAATAATTTTTAAAAATGTAAACCCCGCTGGATTGGCATAATGCCAACTTTACAGATAAGAAAAAAATTATGTAAATTGTCCAAAGTTAATACCACAGCCATAAGTTGCTGAATCAAAACCTGAAATCAAATTTGCCAAATTTCAAAAGCTATGCTCTTTCCTCCATATTATATAACTTCCACTCTACCAACTTGACACTAATACCCATGTATACAACTACTACTAGCACTGGAACTTTGTGACTTAGGTGATTGAGGAACAAATCACCAATCTTTGCTAATAAAAAAATACACAAATGTAAAGCTACTGATCAACTGGCAACAGAACCAGTGCTATTGTTTTCCAGTGTTAATGATGTTCCTCTTACAACTTTTCACACTTGCAAATACATGGCCATGATTAAAGGTTTAGCTTTACTCAAGCTAACTGACCTGTATTAGAATCAAACCAATTAAATAACCCTACATTTCACTAGCATCTAGCACTAAACAAATGATCCACTGACACCAAGATTTTCAGTTTCTTCATTTATATGTAAGCACTGCTAAAATGCAGCAGAGAGAAGGTAAGCTAAGGAATCCTGGAGTTCAAATGCTGAAACTGCCATTTATGAGCTATTTTGACCCTGAGCAAATTACTTTACCTCTTTGAGCCTGTTTTGTATCTCACAAAATGGATGTGTTACCCCCCATATTTGTTTGTTGTCAGAATTAACTGAGATAATACAGGACAAAATTTTTAGGTCACTGCGCTGTATTTCACAGATGGTCAATAAACGTTCATTTCCTTCCTTTATTGTAGGAATGAGAAAGAAAAAACAAATTGAGAAGCAAAAAGCCAGAAAAACAAAAAGAAAGTAGAAGAAACTTTAAGAATAACAGTTTTCTAGGCAAAAATATGAATAATTTAGTGGAAATAAAGATTTCCCTCCATGAGCAGCAACAGTAAATATAAACAAAATTCAGCTCTCGAGATTCTATTTCCTCTATATTTCTTTGATGAAGATGAGAACTTTAGAGTCATTGAAAGGGAGCATTTCCTCAGAGATCCTATAAGGATTAAGGTTAAATTACAGAGTTTCTGATCTGTTACTTATTTTACTATGCTGAACGATTTTTTCAAATTATAAAACAGCTCAGCAATGTATCACACAGCAGGGATTGTAAACCAAATCCTTTACCTTTTTGATTCAGGAGGCTGTCTCTTCTTTATCATTTCACGGAGCCTTGCAGCTGACTGCAAAATACACAAAACATATACACATAAAAATATTATCTTATAACTCCATAGCTTACCTTTTAAAATATTAAGAATCTGCTACTATAATCACACTAAACTAAGATCTGTTCAGGAAATAAAGATCCCTAAGACATGACACCTGATCTTGGTAGTAGACAGGAGACAAACATACTACAAATAATAAAGGCAAGTATATAATACTCCGTAAAGTACTGACATTCTGATACATTGGAGCAGGTTGCTAATGAGTCTACATTTAATCAAATATACTATTACAAATTAAAAGGTTTAACTTCTTTTATAGGCAATCCTACTTTGACATTTTCCAGAAAAACTCCTATAGGTTATATTCCGTAAATTGTTAATTAAAATGAAATAGGGAGATCCTTTGTCTAAATTTCTGATGAATTTTCAACTGTTAGTGACTCAACAATTTAGTTCCTTACATTAACTCACCCTCCCTCCCCTCAAGATGCAAACACACACTGAGTATTTGGGAATCTGGTATTCAGAAAAATCAATTATTTAACAAAGGTAAGGGTTTGATGTCTTTTGGGGAAAACATCACCCACCCTCTAAACAGCTATCCTCCCACACCTAGACGTTCTACCCTCATTGTGAAGACATCAATGTAAATTATACCTTTAACTATAAAACATTAGCATACTTCTGGCTATTTATACTTAAAGCTTTGCATACAAAGCATATTCCCATCTATTCTTAAAGTTTAAGATTTAAAAAAAACAAATAAACAGTAAAAGCTTGTCCTCCCACTCCTCTACCACACCTCCTTCAAAGCATCCCTCCCAACTTCTCCTTTATCCTTTAGTTTAAAGCAACAGCTTGGAACATACCCTGTTTCTTTGAGTCCAAGACAACCACTCATAAGATACCATTATTTTATATACTACCAAAAGGGGGGAAAAATTGCCAGTTATAGTTTTAGGATGCCAATTTCAAAAATATTAAAATGAAATAAAAATGTCTCAGAACCAATAAAATATGGTAACATCTTTCTATTAAGTGCAAAACCTGCTCCTAATTTTACCCTCCCTCCTCTGACACTGTGAAACTTGATACTATGAGTATTTTATTGACATACTAGAGAGAGGAATGGCATCTTGGTTTTAATTAGAAACTCCACACAAACCTCAGACAACTGAAGAGAAGCAAAGAAGTTTGCATTTTCTGATATGTTCTTCAGCCTCTTCCTTTCGTACGGCGACAATCCTGAAAAATCATCCTATGAAATTACACCAAAAAGATTCTGTTACTTTACATAATCCATAGCAAAAGCACCTCACAAAACTAGGTGTCAAATTCTCTGCATGTATACTTTCCTTCAAATTGCATCTGCTCTATTCATTTCACACTATCTTAGCAAATAGCACATAATCTTTGCTGCATTGGATACTGAGTGAAAGAGTTTGAATTTGGCATGATCACAAGATATCTGTAAGGCTTCCCAATTAAATAACAAGTGCTCTGATATCAGAAGTCAAGTAGTATAATCTAATAGTGAATTATTTCCTATTGGCCATTAATTGTACTCTTACTCAAAGTTATCTTTTTACTAAACAAAAAAAAAAGAACTCAATAACAAAATATTTTAAACTCATTCAAAGAGTTAAGGAAATTCAGAAAGAAGAAAAAAAAATGAGAGAGAGAAACATATGGGCAGAAAAGACAATAAAACTAGAAAATCAATCTTGGAGGTCCAATATCCAACTAAGAGTTGTAGGGGGAAAAAAAGAAGCAGAGAAAATGGAGGAGAGAAAATTATTAGGGAAATAAAACAAGCAAGTGTCTCAGGAAGTTACTATAAGCTGCACTTCACCAAAATGAGAGAATAAACCAAGAAAGAGAAAAAGACAGGATCTAGGCTACAGAAGTTTCAGCACAGGAGAGATAAAAGAGAAATGAAATTCAAAGGAAAATGGGCAAAACAAGGCCAAAAAAGAGTAAAACAGTCCAGAATGACATAGGAAGATGGAGGGCCTCAGGAAGTATTTCACAAAGAAAAAAATACGTATATGAAGCCATTATAATTCTTTGATTTATACTGAGAAATTTTAACAAGTCTGCTAAAGCTTGGGCTGTACCCCATAAGGATGTGGAATGGGAAAGTGTGTGGGAGGGAGACACAGGTGTGTAAAAGGTGTGGTGTAAGTGAAACAAATCCTCATTTTCCACAGTAAATCAACAGGTAAAGTGGGGGGAAAAGCTAAAAAGGCTGAAAGTGCAATTTGCCTATTGAGCAGCAATCACAAAGAGAGGTATATGGCATAAATTTGCTGGCTGTTTTGATTTGTTTCTGTGTATATGCGTGTGTACATATGGAATTACCTCTGTGTGAGTATATATGTACATATACACATGTAGAATTACATGAATTAAACATGTATGTACGTGTATTACTTTGACCAAAATCAAGATTTTTCTCACACACACACAAAATAATAGTGATGGCAAAAGTGAAAGGTTATTTTGTCACTGCCTTTAAAACCGCTTCTCAGGGAAAAACATTATCGCCATCATCAAAGACTTCCTAAGAATCTATTTCAAAATGCTGCATTCTGAGAGTAAAGGAACAAATTTAAATGATTCTATTTACCACAGAAAAAATTAAAATTTACTAAGAAAAATCATCAGATAGTTTTTCTAAGAGGTATATGTAATCCAAACTATTCTCACCCATTACCTACCTCTCAAAAACTTGCAACATGAGCAAGACCAAGCAAACAACATCAGAAAAAGTGGGCTCTCAAAGCAAACATATTATAGGAAATAGAAATTAAAAAAAAAAAAACCACTATCTTCAGAGACAATTGAAAAGTTACTGCATCCACAAAACAAGAAAGGGATGCAATGTTTACAAATAAATCAAAGAAAAAAAATAAATGGAATTAAAAATGTGCTTGATGCCAAAATTCACAAGCTATATGAATCCATTTATATAACATTCTCAAAATGACAAACTTGCAGAGACAGAAAACAAATTAGTGGTTGCCAGGGGTTAAGGATGGTGAGAGGGAGGGTGGTGGGCATAACTATAAAAAGGTAGCCTAAGGGACATCTCTGTGGAGATGGAATAGTTCTGTATCTTGATTGTGGTGGTGGTTACATGAATCTACACATGTGATAAAATGATAAAGAACTATACACACGCCTTGTACCAATGTAAATTCCCTGGTTTTGATATTGTAATATAGTTATATAAGATGTACCCATTGGGAAAAAGTGGGTGAAGGGTACATGAGACCTCTCTGTACTATTTCTGCAAATTGCTATGAACCTATAATCACCTTGAAATAAAAGTTTTTTAAAAATAGACATTTCTCGGGGCCAGCCCCATGATGTAGTGGTTAAATTCAGAGTGCTCTACTTCGGCAGCCCAGGTTCACGGGTTCAGATCCCCAGCGCAGACATATACCACTTGTCAGCCATGCTGTGGCAGCAACCCACACACAAAATAGAGGAAGACTGGCATAGATGTTAGCTCAGGGCTAATCTTTCTCAAGCAAAAAAAAAAAAAGAGGAAGATTGGCAACACATGTTAGCTCAGGGTGAATCCTCCTCAGCAAAAAAAAAAAATATATATATATATATATACATTTCTCACAGCTAACATCATACTTAATGGTGAAAGACTGAAAGCTTTTCCCCTAAGGTCAAGAACAAGACAAATATGTCTCCTCTCATCACTTCTATTCAACATAGAGCTGAAGGTTCTAGCCAACACAATTTAGGCAAAAAATGAAACAAAAGATATCCAGATTAGAAAGAAGAAATAAAACTATCTTAATTGCCAATGACATGATCTTATAAATAGAAAGTCTTAAAGAATCCACACCAAAAAAAATTAGAATAAGTGACCTCAGCAAAGTTGCAAGACATAAGACCAATATACAAAAATCCGTTTTATTTGTAGTACACTAGCAATGAACAATCAGAAAATGAAATTAAAAGAACAATACCATTATAATAGTATAAAAAATAATAATATCCTTTGGAATAAATTTAATCAAAGAAGTGCGAGGCTTGTACACTGAAAACTACAAAATAATGAAGGAAATTAAAGAAGACCTAAGTAAATGAAAAGACATCCATGTTCACAGGTTGGAAGACCTAATATTGCTAAAATGGCAATACTCCCCAAATTGATCTAGAGATCCAATGCAATCTCTATCAAAACCGTAAATGCCATTTTTGCAGAAATGGACAAGCTAAAACTCATATGGAAACACAAGAGACCCAGAATAGCCAAAACAATTTGGAAAAGAACCAAGTTATAGGACTCATACTTCTGATTTCAAAACTTACTACAAAGCTACAGTAATTAAAACAATTAAAACTGGCATAAGGATAGCATATAGATCAATGGAATAAAACTGAGAGTCTAAAAATAAACCTATACACCTAAGGTGAGTTTATTTTCAACAAGGCAGCCAAGACCATTCAATGGGAAAGAATAGTCTTGCCAATCACTGGTTCTGAGAAAAATAGATATCCACATGCTAAAGTATGAATCTGGACCCTTATCTCACATCATATACAAAAATTAACTCAAAATGGATCAAAGACGTAAACGTAAGAGTTAAAACTAGGAAATTCTTAGAAGGAAATACAGGTGTAAATCTTCATAACCCTGGGTTAGGCAGTGGTTCTTAGATATGACTCCAAAGCAAAAGCAACAAAAGAAAAAATTGATAGGGGGCCGGCCCCGTTGTCTAGTGGTTAAGTTTGGCACACTCCACTTCAGCAGCCCAGGTTTGGTTCCCAGGCAAGGTCCTACACCACGTTTCCACAGCCATGCTATGGCAGCAATCCACATACTAAATAGAGGAAGACTGGCACAGATGTTAGATCAGGGAGAAACTTCCTCAAGCAAAAAGAGGAGAATTGGTAACAGATGTTAGCTCAGGAAGAATCTTCCTCAGCAAAAAGAAAAAAAATTGATAAACTGGACTTAAAATTAAAATTTTTTAATTAAAAATAAGTTAAAATTAAAAACTTCTGTATGTCAAAGGACATTATCAAGAAAGTGAAAAGACAGTAATAATGGCATAGTGCCCAGAATATATAAAGAACTCTTACAATTCAATAATAAAAAGACAACTTAAGTTTTTAAATGTGCAAAGGAGCTGAATAGACATTTCTCCAAAGTACAAATGGCCAATAAGCACATGTAAAGATGCTCAACAATATTAGTCATTAGAAAAAGGCCAACAAAAATCACAAGGAGGGGGACCAGCCCAGTGGCGCAGTGGTTAAGTTCACACTTTCTGCTTCAGCAGCCTGGGGTTCGCTGGTTCGGATCCCGGGTGCAGACATGGCACCACTTGGCAAACCATGCTGTGGCAGGCATCCCACATATAAAGTAGAGGAAGATGGGCACGGATGTTAGCTCAGGGCCCATCTTCCTCAGCAAAAAAAAGAGGAGGACTGGTAGCAGATGTTAGCTCAGGGCTAATCTTCCTCAAAAAAAAAAAAAATCACAAGGAAATACCACTTCACATCCACTAGGATGGCTATAATAAAAAACACAAACAATTAAGGACATGATGTGAAGTGAAATAAACTAGTCACAAAAAAGACAAATACCATATGATTCCGCTTATACGAGGTACCTATAGTAGTCAAATTTATAGACAAAGGTAGTTGCCAGGAGCTAGCAGGAAGGGAGCAATGGGTTGTTTAATGGTTTCAGTACTGCAAGATGAAAAGTTCTGGAGATTGGTTTCACAACAATGTAAAGGTACTTAACACCACTGAACTGTACACTTACAAATATTTAAGATGGTAAATTTTACATTGTGTATTTTACCATAATTAAAATTGTTTTAATTTTTTAAAAAGACAAACAATAACAAGTATTGGCAAGGGCAGAGAGAAACTGGACCCCTAACACATTGCTGGTGGTACGTGAAAAATGGTGCAGCCAGTTTGAAAAACAATTTGACAGTTCTTTAAATAGTTAAGCCCAGAGTTACCATATGAGCCAGCAATTTCACTCCTAGGTATATACCCAAGAGAATGGAAACCCTATGTTCACACAAAATCTCATAAGTAAATGCTCATGGCAGCACTATTCATAATAGTGAAAAAGTGGAAACAACCCAAATGTCCATCAGTTGACAAAAGGATAAACAAAATGTGGTATATCCATACAACGAATTATTATTCAGCCATTAAAAGGAATGAAGAGCCAGCCCTGATGGTCTAGTGGTTAAAGTTCGGCAC